TCTGCCCCTCTACCACTCATGCTTTGTCTCTCTCTATCTCAAAAATAAACATTAAAAAGTAAATAAATTAAAATAAAATAAATAAACTTTAAAAAAACACTAGTCTAAGGTTTTAGGAATTAGAGCCAAATACTTGAAAAGGATTTTTAGGAGGGAAAGAGTGAGTGCCTACAGGTCTCCAATTGCTGAGTTACAACTGAACAAGCAGAGAGAGGAAGGGAGAGAAAAAGTCCAGGGTTGCGTTCAAGGTAGGAATTTTATCACAAAGAAACAAAGCAAGAGCCCAATCGTTACACATAGGACTTAAGCCTAGAATAGCATCAACTGAAATATCATGAACCTTGGTTACTACACCTACATCTAATCACTACCCAAGATGGCACCATAGTCGGGAGTGATGGGAAACCATCAAGAGGCAAGGATCCACTTGACTTTCAGAGGAACCAAAAAGAGAAGTCTATATTTTCCTTAATCTCTTCTGGTGACCTCTGTATGTTTTCTTCCCTGTTTTGTCCAAGAATGTGATGGGAAGCACTAACACTGCAGAAATGTCACACCATTTACTTTTCAGAGTGCTTTTATATATTGCATATCTATGTAACTGCATTTGAAATTGATAAATCCTACTAGCCAGAGCAGGGGATAGCAATCACACTCACTGATGACACGAAAACAGTGGAGCTCTCAGCACTGCCTGTGTTCAGTGCTCAGCCTGGAAGTTCCTTTCCAAACAGCTGCTGTTCCAAATACAGCTAATAACCGTTTAGTGCTGCCTCACAGACAGAACATCCCGACACAAGATGACGCACATATAATCCTATTCAATTTAATGTCAACTTACCATAGAATATCACTAAAAGAAAAAAAGTCTTAGTTTAAGAAATTTGAATTGAATAAATGTCAGATAGCATTTTCTGTAGACATATTAATTACTGGCTAGACAACACATATCTTCCCTGTTACAAGTAATATTTGGAAATCAATTAATGTAACCCATCATATCAATAGACTAAAGAAGAAAAATCTTGCTATAATCTCAAAAAATTCATGAAAGTACTTGAAAAAACTTAACATTCACTTAGGATTAGAAAAACCTTCCCCAAACTAGGAATTAATGCAAATTTCATCAGTTTGTAACAGGAATCTCAAAAGCCTACCGTTAAAATCATACTTAATCATAAAATGGGAAGGGCATTCCCTCCTAGGATCAGGAAAAAGGCAAGTATCTTCATTCTTACCACTCCTATCCATCATCATATCAGTGGTCCTAGCCAGTGTGAAAAAGCAAGAAAAAGAAATAAAATGCATACAGATCAGAATGGAAGATGCAAAATTGTCTGTATTCACAGGTAAGATGACTGAGTATGTAGAAAACACCATATAATTTTTTAAAGAGCTACTAACACTAAAATAATGTGCTTTGGCAAGCTTGTTGGAAATAAGGTAAATATATAAAATTATTATTTTCATTTTCATAATATGATTAACATTGAGATATTAATAACAGCATCCATAACCTTGTGATCCTTAGAGATGAATTCAAGAAAATACATATGAGACCCGTTTCTTGACAAGCACAAGACACTGCTAAGAGTAACTGAAGGAAAATTCAATAAATGGGAAAACATGTTATGTTCATGGATCAAAAGATTTAATATTGTCAACATGACTGTTTTCTCTAAATAATCTATATATTCAATGCAATCTAATAAAAATCTCAGCATGTGTTTTTGTAGGAATTGTCGAATCAATTCTAAAATGGAAATGGAAATGCAAAGGATTCAGAAGATCCAAATCAATTTTAAAACAGAACAAAGTTGGAGAGGTCACACAATTTGATTTTAATACCTACTACAAAGCTACAATAATAAAGGAAGTTTAATAGCGATATATATACAGACATCCATAGCACTCGAACAGAATAAAGAGGCCTGAAATACACCCACATATATATGGTCATTTAATGTTCAAAGGATAGATTTTTCAACAAATGATGCTGGAAAAACTTCATCTCTATGTAAAAAAATAAATTTCATCTAAACCTCATATAGTAAGAAAACTTAAGTTTAAACTGAATACAGGCCTAAATGTAAATGCTGAAATGTTAAAATTTCTGGAAGAAAACATAAAAGAAAATACTTATGAACTTTGCATAGATAAAGACTTCTTCAATTAGGACATGAAACGTGAATTATAACAATAAAAATATATAATCCATCAAATTTTAATCTACTCTGCAAAAGACAGGCTCAAGAAAACAAAATGGCGATTGACAGAATGAGAGAATATAGTCAGAATACACATATCTGATAAAGGACTTGTATTAGAATCCATAATGAAGCTTTAAATTCAACCATAAGATAATCCAGTGTTTTTAATGCAATGCAATGCAAAAGATTTGACATTTATAAAGGAAGATATGCAAGTGTCCAATATGCACAAAAAAATAACTGAACGTCATTATTCATCAGGGAAATGAAAATTAAAACCGCAATGAAATACTACTACACAATCACTTGAATGGCTAAATTTTTTTTAAAAAACTGATTATAGCACATGATTGTAAAAATATGGAGCAAATGGAACTATCATCATACATTTCTGTTGGGGATATAAAATTGTACAAACAGTTTCAAAACTACTTGGGAGATAATATTTGTAAAATGAATAGACATTCATCATATGATCCTATAATTCTGCTCTTACATATTTTTCACAAGAAGAAAAACATATCCAAAAACTTGCGCATTAACGTTCACAGCACCTTTATAAACAATCTCCACATGGAAACAATCTCCACAAGGAAAACAGCAACAGCTGTAGGACATCCATTATCTATATAATGGAATATTACCCCACAGTAAAAATGGAACAAGCAAGTAATACATCCAACAACATGAATAAATCTCAAAAACATGCTAAGTGAAAGAAGCCAAATGCAAAAGAATATATTCCATAAGGACTCTGTTTTTGCAAAACTCTGGGAAAAATAAATCTAATCTACGGTGACAGAAAAGAGATCAGTTGTCTAGCCCTCGTCAAAGTGGGGATTGATCGAGAACATTTTGAGGCAATGTAAATGTGGTAGTGGTCACCTGGGGTAGGTGTGTGTCAAAACTCAAACCATACAATCAAATTGTGTGCATTTCACCATATCCAATTATACCTCAATAAAATTGATTTTTAAAATGGACTGGTTCCTACCTGGAGTTGAGGGTAGAACATAAGCTTCTCAGTAGTTAGGTTGAGTTTATAGTTAGGCTGGAAAGGACCTACATTCTAGCTGCACTAAGTAAGCATCTTTAATTTGCCCAATTGCATATGAACTATTTACCTTCTAAGACCTTTTGTTGTTGTCAAAGCACTGTCTTGTGCCCATTCTGACTGGCAGACTTTGGTCTTGTGGGTAATTCATTATTGGGAAGACATATCAAAGGTGCCATGACCACAGGCTAATGTCAAGACCTACCTCACCCTCCTTAATCTTGTGTATTGTGGTCATGGGAAGACCAGCATAAGATTTAGGAAACCTTCACTTCAGGGTGTCTTGGGCCCACAGATAACCATGCATGGGAGAAAGTATAAGAGAAGAAAAGTATCCAGAAGAATAGATGCCAGATCACTACCAAACCAAGGAAGTCTGTGAATCTGAGACAGAGAGAATAAGTGTGGTCTCAAGATCAAGACTGCAAGTAGCTTTGGGGATGAAATATGCCAAGTATGACTTCTTATGTACTATATAGTGTAATGCTTTAGGACAGTGTTTCCCAAAGACTGGGATAAATACCAGTGGTGGCACATGTCCCTGAGAAATGATTCTAAGGGTTCTTGAGATGACTTGGAGTGGTCAACAAACATGATTTAAATAACAATGAATCACATGATAATTTTTTCTCTAGTTCTCTCAGTTTTTCTGATTATCAACAAGCCTCATTTTGTGCTAGTATGTCTTTAACATCACATTCTTCTCCCTTTTAAACAAACAAAATAATACAAAATACTCAACTGAAATGCAGTAGCTATTTTTGCTTATGTACATAGTTATAGTTATCTTCTACTTACACTAAGTAAAACTGGTTTCTCATTTATGGTAGTGATGCCGAGTTTCTGCATCAAATAAATATCCTTCAGTAAAAAAAGGGGGACAGTGAATTTATAGAAAAAAATAATAGGTTAAAAAGACTAAGTAGAATATTGATATGGTGATACAGGAACACCTAAGCTTGTATAACAGTACCTTAAAATGTTGCTTTGTAAGGAAAACTACATATCTGTGTATAGATGTAAACATATCAGCAAGCACTGGATTATTACTAAATTAATAAATATTAAGGAAAATTCACTACAGAATATTTTCATGTCATAAATTAGTTTGTGATTTTAATGACTGCCACTTAATATCCCTGAAAGTTGCAGATTCCAAATTACTGACAAAAGATGAGATTCAGATTTTCAGTGTCTTGTATATTAGGATAAAACAGCACAAAACTGGGGGGGAGGCAAGAATGTATCTGCACAATAGAGAAGAGTTACATCCCATTCTACCTCCATCTTCCTACTCATGAACACTTGCTCTTGAGTGCAGACAGGCAAAGAAGCTATGCAGATTTCATCTCCATAAAAGTTGGCATTCTACTATTTTTAATTTTGCCCTCTTTTCTCTTTCTTTTTTCTTGGTACACATTCTAATTTCTTTCCTTTACAAGAATCCATACAAATGGACATTTTACTTTAGGTCCATTAATCACTTCTTAAAATAGAATTCACATGGATAAACATCTACAAAATTGTTATGCTGTTGTCGATGTTTTGACAGTCTTGTGCAATTATAAACAATCAATCTCAGCTATGATCTAGAGAATATTACCAGTCAGAAAAAGGAGAGAACTGTAGAACAGATTTTCTTATTTAAAGAAGCATCCAATAGTTTGATTTCTACTGTGCTTCTAATTTCCCAATAGTAAAGTTAAAGTTGGGATGAACAAAGATTAATGCCTTACCTGTTGGAAGGTGCAGTGTTATGTTGTTGCAAAAATCTGTGAAGCAGCATTCAGTTTTGGTAACATTGTTGGAACTATGACAGAAGACTTGAGCATTCAGCTCTGGGAGAGAGACACAGGACTTGATCACCTGTTCTTTCCCATTGGTTAGCATAACCGAGGCCCAGCATGCTCCTTCAGTTTGGCAGGTAAAGTTTGAAGAGTCACACAAAAGACATACACACTTCAATCCTGGAAGTGTAAGGCAGAAAGCTTGAAGATACAGAAAACATCATGCAAATTTATTTCATAATACTTGACTATAAGAATTCAAGCTTAATGAAAATTGTGGAAGGGTTAAATGAATAGTATTGGGTAAATACATGCTACTACTGTTAGTACTTCTCAGTCATGTGTTTTATTAAATAGGCAGCCCAATCATCTTTTATTATTACTTGTACTTTTGTGAATTTATTCTGTTACCACTATACTTTAAAATAATTTTCTTGTCCATGATCTAAGTCACTCCTGAAACTCAACTGGCTTATTTCTAAATCAATAGCTCCTGTGAAATGCTAGGAAACAGTAACACAGCTCCCAAGGGGCGCTGTCCAGCACCACTTGTAAAGTGTGGTTAGAGCGCTATGTAGCCCAACATCCATTATGCTCTGCTCATTTACCCTTTCTCCTTTAAACTTTTATGTCAATGTGCTAAATACAAACCTAACCATAGAAATCTACCACTCTAAAAATAATAATGTGATTCTTTACATTTATATTTGATGGTATTTTAATATTATTGCTATTGTCACATAACCTTTAAGGCACTAATGAGCCATTACACTTCCCCCTCTTCACTAAGAAATACATGTTAAAATACGAGTCATTTGAACATAGACCATGACTTCAGGCAATTCTCTTTAATGAACACATCTATTCCATATAACATAACACATCAACAGTAGAATTTAGTATATCTACATCAATAAAATTTTAAAAATTAGACTTTGCTAAATTAATCTATTCAGTGCACAAGTTTCCTCACTCCTCCCCACTTACTACACACACACACATACACACACCTCTCACACACATTTACTCACATGTTTAAAGTGATGCCATATTGTTCTGTCCTTATGTAAAGTATCTCTCACCATGAAGTCCAGTGGTTGTGACAATTTATTCAAATTTTATTTAATTATGTTGTTTTTAAATAGTACAATACTAAATAAGGCTTTTGTATTACTACTTTAATGAGCTTTTTGTTAAATGATAACTGCTCCTCACAATTATCTGAATGTACTAAATTTTATCATAAAATCATTTTTACTGAAATTAAAGACTTTAAATTGCTAATTGCTGAAATTACAGCTAATTTCCTAGCTGCACAATATTTGATACATAAATGACAATTTTTATACTCAACTTCAAATACCAATATAAGAACAAATACGGATAATATTCCTACATAACTGGGTGCATAAGAATGAACAAGTTATATACTGAACAATAAAAATTATCTTTCCTTTGGTGCCCTTTCTTGATTGGTAAGATACCATCTCTATAAACCTTTTTATTACTATGGTCTAAAAGAACGACAGTCATAAAATATAATACTATTTTGTTACCAACATTGGACCAATCATATAGCTCACTCCTCCATTTATTCCAGGGGTGATTAATATAAATAAATACACAACTGACCCTTAAACAACATGGGTTTGAACTGTACAAGTGCATTTATACATGGATTTCTTTTCAATAAATGCAGTAAAGTACTGGGGCGCCTGGGTGGTTCAGTCAGTTAAGTCAGTTAAGCCAAGCCTGGTCTTGGCTCAGGTCATAATCTCATAGTTCATGATTTTGAGCCCCACATTAAGCTCTGCACTGAGAGAATCCCAAGCAGGCTCCACGCCATCAGCGCAGAGGCCGATGTGGGGCTTGAACTCAGGAAACATGAGATCATGACCTGAGCTGAAATCAAGAGTCAGGCATTTAACTGACTGAGCCACCCAGGAACCCCCACCTAATGATTTTCTTAACAACATTTTATTTTCTGTAGTTACTTTACTGTAAGAATATGGTATATAATACATATAATATACAAAGTATATATTAATTATTTATGCTATTGGTAAGGCTTCTAGTCAACAGTACACTATTAGTAGTTAAATTTTTGGAGACTCAAAAGTTAAGCAGATTTTGAACTGTGTGAGGGGTTGGTGCCCCTAACATCATGTTGTTCAGTGGTCAACTATACTCATTTGTTGATATTTATGTGCTATAGTAGAACCTTATAATCCACACTGATTAGGATTCAGTAGCGCTAGATATATAAAATCCAGGTGATTTTAAAAATGCTTTAAGTCACTTTCCTTACATAAAAGAGAGTTCATATAATGACTATCCATCCACGTAGGTGTCTTCTGACGGTGGAATCTCGCTAGTACCTCCAAGTCTGATCTACCAATGGCCTTCAAATCCCAGTTATACCTGCTTTGAAATTTGGTCATTACTTGACCCCTCTGTGCCTCCATTTCCTTATATGAAAGAGGAGGAGAAGAAGAATATACCTCCTCATACTGTTGTTGTGAAGAATAAATTAATCTATGTAAAAGCTCTTAGGACAACGTCTGGCACACAGGAAGTATTATGTAAACATTAATGACCATGCCTTCTCCTACTAGAGGAGGTAAAGCTAGTTAGATTACATAACAATTGAAATACATTCATAATCCATAAAGGAATGGCTGAATGAACTAGGGTGTACAGACCATTTAAAAGGCATAACAAAGAAATACATCCCTTTCTACTCTGTGGAGTGAGTTGAATGCTCTCCTTTTAACATCCCAGGTTAGAACCTAGACAGCCACACAGCAGGGTAGTGTCTGGCCATGGTCCAGATAAAGAACTCAGGAAAGGTCTCAGTCCTACCTCTGTCACAAACTTGTTCATTGATATTAGAGAAGACATTTAACCTTCAGGGCCTCAGTGCCCTCTTCTGAAAACGGGAAATGAACCAGGGTCAGAGCCGTGAATCCAAAAATCTTGAAATCTCATAGAATGCCACCATTTTATGGTTCTAAGATTTTATAATTGATGGATATTTCCAATTACAAAATATAGAAAATGCTGACATTGAAGAAACTTAATCCACTGTGGTTATTCTTTACCCTCATATTTTAAGGGGCTGAAGTTGGGAAGAAGAACTCTCCTGACACACAGTCTCAAACCAGTTGTTACTTGAGTCCTCACCAAAGTCTCCATGAACTTTCTATTTCCAAAAGAAGCCTAGTGTGGAAATCAAGGCAACTAACTATGGAATATAGGTCCACCGATTGAAAACAACCATAAAGCACTCAACAATTAAACATATGTTAGTTTCTTGTGTGTTTATCTTTACGTATTAATTCCCAGTGACAGTGTGGGAGGTAGTTGTCACCATCTCCATTTTATAGAGAATGTAATGAGGCTCAAAAAGATCAAGTAACTGAATTAATGTAGCAGTTATTAGACTACTCAAGCAATGTTGTTTCTGTTCTACCAAAGCTGACATATTTTTTAAAAAGACAGGTACATACACCATTTTTGCTACCTCACTGGTTTCTAGCAATTGAACAAAACATAATTCTAATACAGCAGAAAGAAATTAATAATTAACAATTGACAATTGAGATTTTGATCTGTATTACCCTAATTACCTTTTAAAATACAGTTGGTATTTTTAAAACAAATTCTACCTACTTATTTTCTGAGGAGACAAGTGGTTAAATAAAAGTCAATCATCATGTACTTTGCATCTACAGAAATAACTTACCTCTCAGGTTGTCTAAGTTTTGTATTAAGTACAAACCTTTAAATACCTAACCTGATACTTTTTCTTAGAAATACTACTAGTGCCTTATAAAAATGATTACATAATAGCTCTTATCAAGGAAGAATGTGGATACTCTCCAAATATTTAATAAGCTATAAAAATCTTTCACTTTTAATTAACAGGTACCGATCAGAAGATTAATTCAGACCTCGGTGATAGAGTTATGACATAGTAAATGCCACCTTATGTTAAGTGGTGCATGATGGAAAACATCGACAAAACTGAGAATTTGTTGATAATGGCTTCAAACATCTGTCAAATATTCTCATTTATTCCAGGTGAGCTGGCAGTACTATAGCACTGATGGAGCACAAACAGCAAATTAAAAGAAACCTAAGATGTATATCTAACATACAATATATTCAGTCTTGCATTTTTCATTTCCCACCAAACCGCTTTATGGTCACATTTGGTATATAATTAAATTATATTTATATCAACCACTCTCAACATAGAACCCTTGTGTTGCCAATTAAAACATAAGCTGCCCTTAGCGATTAGACTTATGCTTTCATATTTTGTATTTTAAAAGACTGATGTTAATTGAGTCAATTATACTAGAATATTCCATGACAGGATAAATCTGGCTGTTAGCAGACAGCAGTCCAGCCTTATGTTTCTTTATTTTATACTTTCCCATTATAATGTACTTGAGTCATACGGAAAGGGACAGCAAATGAAGTTAAAGGAAGAGGTAATTACCCATAATAAGGCGGTCTATTAGAGTTTTCCCCACGAGAAAGACTTTTCTTGTGTCTCCTCCCACCCCTTTAATAAGCCCCTGTTCCCCCTTTTTGCCAATTAGTCTGCAAAAGCCAAGACATCCGTTACTCACAAGACATCTGTAACCCACATGAAACTCAAGGATGTGCACATTTCTAATCAACCAGAAAATAAATTTTCATCCATCTTTACATGTGATGGCAAGCACACCCTGGTATCCAGAAAGGTAAAAACGAGCAGACTATAGAAAATGAATCAAACTTATCAATTTGTATATATGTGGTATTCTTGTTAAAAAGGCAAATATTTGCTTGGGAAATATTAGCTGTTTTGAATGGGATACTATTTTCAATAAGTTGGTTGGCTACATTTTGGATCTATATGCTAAAATATTTATTGACTAATGCCTTACACAAATTTCTGACACATACCCTTTCCTCTTCTCCAGACATTAGTTGATCCAATTTCCCTAATTTTAGAGGAAGCTATTGAACACAATTTTTTGTTTAATTCAGAAAACTGTCTCAAATTTGACCTGCCGAATATGTTACCTTTTCATCATTTGCAGGCTTCTGAGTTAACAAAGGAAC